GAGGAAGAGAAGAGAAAAAGAAGAGGAAAAGAAGAAGAAACAAAGGGCATAGAGGACTAACAAACCCAAGAAAAATGTTGTTTTATGAACTAATTTACAACCTTGGTGGTCTTGTGCTCTTTCTTACTATTCTTAAAACTTATGATCTTTGGTTGAACATTGTGTAAACATTTGGTTTTACTCGAGGTCGAGTAAAGAAACTAAGTGTGGGGGAGTTGACATTCATGTTATTTCCATGTTTATATTTGTGCTTTTAATTAGTTTTGAGTGATTATTACTCTAGAAATTACACACTTTTGGTGTAATAGTTTAGTTTGTAAAATGTTTGTAAATTGTTTAGATTAGGTTTGTTCTGAGCTCAAACAGGTCCAAGACCACTCTAGGGACCATTGGTGAACATCACAAGTGGAAGGAAGGTGCAAAAATTCCAAAACAAAGTGAAGATCCTGATTTTTGGTGTTGTACCCGGTCGAGTATACCCTATACTCGATCGGGTAAGTTGCTGAAAAATCAAATCGGATAAATCCGCGAACAAGGCAACGTGCAGGGAAGATTTTAACCACGATCGAGTGTCTATACCCGATCGGGTAGCCGACATACCCGATCGGGTATGCCCATGTTTTTCCAGCTTCTGCGAAGCAACTGAAGGCCCGATCGAGTACCCAACATACCCGATCGGGTACATGACCCTGCAAGCCCAAAAAGCATATAAATACACCCCATTTCCTCCACAATAAATCACCAATTCCTATATACTTCTAAGCTCAGTTTAGACAAGTTCTTTCTTTATATTTTTATCATGTTTAGTCTCCAAATGAGGAGCTAAACTCTTCCATCTTGGTTTTGCTACTTTGAAGCTTAATGATTTGTAAGTTGTGAGTTATTTTCTTTAATCTTCTTCCTTGAATATTAATTACTTCCTATTCATATCCCATATTAATATATTGAGCATTACTTAAAATATCAACTAGTCTTGTTCTATATATTAATTATTACTAGAATCAATCAGTTAATACGCTTGTTATTAATTCGGTTCTTTCAATGGTAGTAAACTTGGATTGCTAATGCATGCTTCTCATGGTTAATAATCTAAGGGGAATTAATTATATTGATTAAACCAATAGACCACTTGTGTTGAGGTTATCAATCTCAATCGTTTTCATCTTAAGTTTATTGCTACTATCAAGTTAATATACGGCGCTTGTTCTATATTGACTCGATAGTAAGTTTTGTTAATGAACGCTTCTCGTTATTAATAACTACCCTCGATGAACTGGATATACTCCTCGATTGAGTATTCGAGAGGAAGATAGTTAAAGATATAACCGGGATCGACGAACATTTCATTAAGTGGATAAAAGCAAAGCCAAGTCTTCTTCTCATTAATTAAACCACATAACTCGTTCATCTTCGTGTTCAATTTTAATTAAATCATTCAATCAAAACCCCCCCCTTTATTTATTAGTTTATAAAAAGAGAAGTATTCCTTTTCCTGCGGATACGAACCTTACTTCAATATACTACGTATATTAGTTGTATTGTATTTATTTTGAGTGCACCTCACGACAAAGTGCACGTCAGTTGCCCACGTCATCGGAATTCTCGACCGTCGTTATCAACCACCCTAATTTTTTTTCAAGAAGCTCTCCACTGAGCTGCCAAAATTCAATTGCCTTCATCTTTGGAGAACTGTGTTGCCGTAATCGTTGAAAAAGTGTGCCGTCGACAGGAGTAGCCGCTGCCGGAGTCAGCTGCCGCAACCATGGACTGCCCTGATTATGCAAGAGAACTAGGAATAGAAATGCAATGATCAGTCTTGTTTAGGAAAAAACAAACATATAATCATATTTTTTGGAAGAAACTTATAAAAATTTTTGCATATTTAATTATAATTCTCTGAATAATGATTTTTAAATTGTTAAATTTGTTTATAAAAGGTTTTTTGCGCATAGGTAATTATAACACAGAAGATTTGACGCATTTTCTTAAATCAAATAGAATTAATGCCTTGAATTTATATATCACAAGAGAATTTGGTGCAGTAAGGATGTTATTACTTGGACTGTTTTCAGTCCTAGACAAGATCAGATCAGACCAGATTAGACCAGACCAGAGTAGAAAATTTCAATGAAAAGAAAAAACATTCCAAACCCAATAATTTATTGGTTGCATCACACTACATTGCATGGGTATAATTAGAGTGAGCATATCGATTTCGGTTCGATTTAATTCGGTTTGGATTCTTTTTTTATAACATATGAAAGTTCTAATAAACTTTTTTAAGGAGTGTTTGCGTTTGCTTCAACTTAAATAAAGTGGTTGTTTTAAGTGACTTTGAAGAAAGTGCTTTTTAGTGAAAGTTGATAGTGTTTTAGAATAAAAGTGATTATTATTGGGAAGTTAAAGTTGGAGTGTTTGGTAAAAAAAATGATTTTTGATGTATTTTTTTTGTTAAAGTACCAATATAACCTTCTCCATATTAAATGTGAAATACTCTCTAACATTTTGGTGGGATACAGAGAAGGTGCTAAAGCTTGCAACTCTCCTCGCAATAGCCTATTTCTATTTGATGGATACTCATACAAATCACTCCGTATGTATATATTCGTATATATATATTCATGTTTTCGAAGATGAAGAATATTGATTCTTAATTGAATCGAAATTCTGGAAGCATTAGAGCGTGAAGCAGGTGCAACAAATCAGGAAGGAGGATGACGATCTCTTCTGCTGCCTTGCGGTTGAGGGAGGAGGGTATCGATTGACGACAAAAGAAAACTTGCAGTTAGTCATGGAGCTCAACAGTTGCAACGATGCAGCGAATGTGCCGATATAACTAGTATATGGAGTACCAATAATAATGCCTTGCGATCGAGGAAGAAAGGACATTTTGGATTTTTGAGATTTGTCATTATAAATGTCCTTGGAGTTGGATTTATTTACTAAAAACCCAACTATCCATTATTTCATGATAACCCCAACTTTAGAGACCTTCCGCCAATAATGGTCCATATAAATAAATTGTTGTAGTTTCGAAAGTGGATGAGAAGAGATATAACAATTTATCCCTATAAATAATCACAACTTTTAATTTTTACGCTTAATTTCTATTTAAAAATCACTTGTTATAGACTTATAGGAGCTAATATCTTCTCATGAACCATTATTGGTGAACGATCCATATAGTCGGAATTACACAAAAATAATCAACGGACCGGCAAAAGTTTTGAGATTGTTATTTTCAATTTGTCCCTTTTTTAAGTCAAAAACCGAAAAACGCTCTTTTTAAGCTTACGCAAACCTTCCATTAGTTAGATTCAATTTTATTCAATTTTTCTCAATAGTGTGCTAAACTAAACAGAGAATATGATGATTTAGCTTCACTTAGGAGGCGTTTACTTCGCTGCTAAAGTCACAGTTAGGTTAGTAAGACAGGTGAAGTAAACACGCACGCTGCTTAAAAAGCCGCTTACTAACCGAAATAGGTGCTTAAAGTGCCGCTTACTAAGCCTACCACACCCCCATGTATTAATTAAGCGGCACTTTAAGCTTTTTCAGTTTCCGAATTTACCCCTTGCCCTTACCCTATTGTTACCCCTGACCCACCTACCTACCTACCCCACCTTGACCCCAACCCCACCTACCCCACCCCCTACCCTACCCCATCCTACCCCTACCCGACCCCACCCTACCACTACCCTACCTACCAGACCCCACCCCTACCCTACCTACCAGACCACAAACCTACCCCACCCCTTACCCACCTACCCAACCCCACCCTACCCCTACCCTATCCGATCTCACCCTACCCCTACCCTGACCCTACCCCATACCCCGACCCCACCCTACCCTTACCCTTACCCCACCCCTACCCCCTACCTTACCTACCCCACCCCTACCCTACCTAACCGACCCCCACCCTACCCTTACCCCACCTACCTGACCCCACCTTACCCCTACCCTACCCCATCCTACCCCTACCCGACCCCACCCTACCACTACCCTACCTACCAGACCCCACCCCTACCCTACCTACCAGACCACAAACCTACCCCACCCCTTACCCACCTACCCAACCCCACCCTACCCCTACCCTATCCGACCCCACCCTACCCCTACCCTGACCCTACCCCATACCCCGCCTCCCACCCTACCTACCCGAACCCACCCTACCACTACCCCACCTACCCAACCCCACCCCTACCTTACCTACCCGACCCACCCTACCACTACCTGACCGCAGTCACCCCACCATACTCTTACCCCACCTACCCCATCCCACCATATACCCCGACCCCACCCTTTACCCCCACCCTATACCTAGGGTGGTGGGGTCGGGGTGGGGCCAATGTGATAGAGGCGCTAGGGGCAGAGTAGGTGCGGTGGGGTCGGGGGTAGGGTTGCGGCAGAGTGGGGTCGGGTAGGGTAGGGGTAGGGTGGGATTGGGTAGGGTAGTGGTAATCGGGGTAAGGTAGGGTAGGGGTAGGGGCGGGGTTGGGGTAAGGTAGGGTAAGGTGGGGTCAGGGTGGGGTCGATGCGGTAAGGGGGTATGGGGGTAGGGGCCTATGGGGTTGGGGGTAGGGTCGCGGTAGGGTGGGATCGGGTAGGGGTAGGGTCGGGTAGGTAGGGTAGGGGTAGGGGGTAGGTGGGGTCAGAGTAAGGTAGGGTGGGTAAGGGGTTAGGGGGTATGGGTACACATTTATATTATATACTTGTGTTCATGAATGTTTGTGTGTGTATATATGTATAGGGTTATTTTGGACATTTTAATGTTAAGCGGTGTTTTAAACCGTTTGAAGTAAACACAGTCTTACAACATTGTTTATTTTATGCACCGCTTATTAACACGGGTCTTAATAAGCACCGTTTAATAACCGGTGAAGTAAACGCCTCCTTAATTGGGTTTGATAAGAAATACCCGCGCCTCATGCAAATTCGAAATCTAGGCAGGATTTGCTTTAAATATCCCGCTACTTCCATCCCTGCCGTTTAGACTTCCAAAATCCTCACAGCAAAACACAGCTCTCAGTTCTCTCAAGTTTCTTCAAGTTTTTCGTGCTCCGCATCCTTCCGATTTCCAGGTCCGTTTCCAACTCCCTTCTTTTCCATCATGTCTGAACCTCCCTTCTCCGCTTCTGCGGGCTTCCTTCAATTGGACTCCGCCCCCCTCCTTTCCCTCCGCCCCAGGCTTAGCGATAATGACTTTGATTTGGCCGCGAAAATGGTCGGGACCGGATGTGCCGTATCTCGTCCTCAGCCGTCTTCAAATATCACAGATCCTCCTCCAAAACACTTCGGCATCCATATCCGTTCCTTGGAGCTCGGTTTCCGTGCTCCAATTTCCCCCTTCTTCCTCGAGTTTATCCGTTATCTCGGCGTGGCTCCCGGCCAGATAACGCCGGTCGGTCACCTCTTCCTTTCCGCCTTCGAGGCCTTGTGCGACGAGCATAAGGTGGTCCCGTCCGTCCTTCTTTTCCGGTACCTCTTCACCTGGGCCAAAAATGGGGGGTTTGTTTATATCTCTCAGAAGCCCGGTTTCATCCTGTTCAAAAACTATCCAGATTCCAACAAGCGTTGGAAAGACAAATGGGTCTGGCTATCCGACCCCTCGCTCCCATTTGGGTACGACTGGGCCAAGTGGTTTAGAAGGCCGGTCAAGGTTTATCCGACCAGCCTAGATCTGGAGTCGGACGCGTCTAGGTTGATGACGAACGCTCCTTGGAAAATCGCCGATCTCAATATAAGTGAGTCGATCGATTGGCTTACTCAATTGCTCTGCTTTTCTGCATACTGTTTCTCTGATTGTTTGAATTTTGTTGCAGAGATGGCTTCCAGAGCTGAGAGGATGGCCGCCCTGAAGGCGGCGGGCGTCACTGTTGGGCCGGCCAAGGCGAAGCGGGCGGAGACGTCGACCCAACAAGCCCAGCCTAAGGTAGCCGATCAGGATCCTAACATGTGGAGCAGCAAGAAGTCCGACCGAAACCGGTCCACGACTTCCCTCAAGTTTGACATGCTAGGCACAGACGCTTCTATCCTCAATGGATCCATTTCTGCCGAGCGCTTTCTCGAGGCGATGATTCCCCCGTCCGACCGGGAACTGCTGGCTTGCCTTGAACCCAGAGAGCAGCTGGAAAGTGGCATCCGGGCTGTAGTTGAGGTCATTGAGAATTACATAAAATTGACAAGTCTTATTTTAGTTAAAAACAATGAAAGTTTATGTGGAGTACTTATTTTAGGAAAATGCACTGTGTTTATGTTTTTGTCATATATAAGAAATTTTCTCTTTTTTGCATTCTCAGGCTGCACTCCGGTTTTGCATGGGTCTGAAGGGGTATGACATTCTGGTGGCTTCCTCCCAGAAACAGGCAGCCGAGCTGGAGGAGGCTAGGAGAGCCATAGATGAGGCGTTGGAGAGTCGGAACTCGGCCCAGAAGGAGGTCAAGAAATTGAAACAGAACATTGGGCAGGTGGCCGAGACCGCGAAAATGGTTGCGGAGCTGGAGTTGGAGCTGGCTGTTGTGCAGGCAAAGTTGGATGCTGAAGTTTCCCGGCACAATGCTCTAAAGGAGAGTTCCTTTGAGGCGGGGAAGTTGGCCGTGTCAGCCTATGTTGAAAAGGATCTTCCCCGCCTCCTGGAAGAGCACGTTTTGGACAACCAAGAGAAGATTGCTAAGGCGTGGCTCAAGACTCCAGACGGCAGGAAGCACCTGGACATGGAAGGACTCATCAACTTCGAGTGTGGCAGATTTGTCATGCAGTCGGAGTTGTATGAGATCCTCTCTGCCCGTAATGTTCGACCGGAATTCCTGGGCCTCCCCCCTCCTATGGACGATCCCGATCCTCCACAGTCACCAGCATAAAGAGGAAAAGCTAACATAGATTAACCAGCCGCCCCGTCTCAAAAGGTGCTCAGATCATGGTGGCAGTTGTAGTTGTTAAGAAATTGTGCTAAATAGGGTTAAAACATGATCAAAATTCTCCACTTTTTGCAGAGAGGAAACTAACTCCTTGTATGTGTAAAGTTTGCTAAACTCTCTTTTTTGGTATGTACTTTAAAAATTACTACGTTTTCTCCATTTGGTAAGTTTTTCTAAAAAATAATACTTCCGTATCACTAACAATGGGACATGAGGAAATGATATTGTTATTAGGAAAATGAGTTTATGTGATTGATATTGAATTGATAAAGTAAGAATTAAGAAAGAATGATTTAAAGTTACATAAATTTTACAAAGTTTGGTATGTGACAATCTTAAAGAGATTTTTTGAAAAGAAAAAATGGGACAATTTAGTAGGAGGGAGAGAGTACTTAATTACTCTTACTTCTTCTACTTAAAAAAGAGTCATACTTCTTTTACTTTTTAATTTTTCTTTGATAATTTTACATTATCTCTTCTACTTTTTCTAAATTATTTATCACCCCTACTATTTTCCTCCTTAAATGATGTATTAAAGCTAATGTAGTAATCTTTAAAATATGGATCGAGCATTTATTAATGATATTAAAAAATAAGGCTATCTAAGATGAGACATACAGTTAAATGACCTCCTATGACCAAACAAATTTGCTAATCTCGCAGCTATATGGTGTAATCTTATGGCATGGCTGAACTAATTACTCTAGTTATTGAAATAAAATAGATATTCTGAATTAGAAAAGAAACACATTAAGTATTTGACCAACCACCTCTAAGAAAACACTAAGTTCTCATAAATTGCAATCGAGTCTCTTACTCTAATCATTAGAAATGCTCTTAGTATGGCACATACTTTCATTATGCGCTTGGTCAATTCATTTTTATTATCAAAATAACAAAATTTGGACTGTAATTTTCTGTATTTATTTTGTTACCAAATTAATAACAAAGAATGACATAAATATTGCATATATATTTTTATAAGACAAAGATATGACAGTTTTTGTTTTTTCGAAATAAATGGCATGTGCGAATGTGAAGATCGGACATCTGTGAATGTGTATCTTCTACCAGCCATCAATGATGACAGTGAAGGAGACGACCAACGGAGACGACCAATGGTGGACACTGGATAACCCGTGATGGCAGTGGCGGTGAAATGGATCTCCTTTTTGGTGATTTTGGATCTTCTGCTGAAATTTCAACTGCTCGCCCTCCTCCTAAGTCATTGCCTCACACCGAGAGAAAGTTAATGCTTAAATGGATCTCCTTTTTTGGTGATTGTTCAAACCAATGATCCGGTCAATTGCTATTTAGTTGAGTTTCATTTTTGATTGGTTGTTGGTCAAACCTATAATTCTCCTTTTTCCGGTTGTGGGCTAAGCCAAATCTTTTCTTTGTAAATTTTATTTTATTTTCCTTTGGAGTAGCAAAAAGAACAGCAAAACCGATAGACTAGATTACATTATTGTTGGGTAAGTGATCTGGAGGGATTCGCGGGATCTTTTCCGTTCTATTCTCATCTCATAATAGCCTTAAGATGTTTTCACTTTAGCTTATTTTAATCGCAGATCAGATCAGATCACATCAGACTTAAAATGATCAGACCAGATTCGGGAATTAGAAAATACACGGAGTTGAGACATTTACTAGACCAGTTCTTACCAGATCAAACTTAAACAAACCAGACCAGATCATGCAAAACTTAAACAGACCGTACCAAATTAGATCATAAAATTTGAGTTTAATTAAAAACGTCCTTAGACTATTCATTCACTTGTTTTTGCTTTAATTTAATGAATAATAATAAATTAGTTATTACTAAGTACTCCGTATTTGATTAAAAAAACATATTTTAATCGGATAGAATTATCTCTAAATAAATTTGGAATTTGAAGATTTTTATTTTTTACCATGAGCGGGCCACCATCGAAGCAGATAAACGTTTCGCTCTCCCGCTCAACTGCGATCAGTGAGCTGCAGGATTGAAAACTAGCAAAGGTCAACACTACTTCGAATTTTGCAAGTCTCTCTATCAAATTTGTAGTTTCTTGTGCTTTACTTATATAATCTTATCGGATTCATAACTCAGATTCTAATGTTTGTCAATTTCTACATACCTCTTCTCTTTGGAAAACGTGCTAAAACGAACAAATGGGTTTCAGATTGACTTGATTCAGAATATGGAGCCAGTGGAGTTGACAGAGCAGGAAACTGCCATCTATGATCGTCAGATTAGGGTTTGGGGCGTTGATGCTCAAAGACGGTCTGTACCTTTACCTATGCCTTTGTATAAGCTGTGGCCTTTGTTGATGTTTGATGTTTAACTACATAGTTCAGCATTGCATAGCAAGGGGTTTGGTTTACCGATTACATCCTCACTATTATCTTGATCTTATAGGAATTACAACTTAAGTGGATGCTGTTTGGTTATAACAGTTTTCATGTTTTTTCCGTGCCAATCTCTTGATAATTGGGTCTATTACATTTCCAAAGAAAGGCTTGACTTTTTAAAATGTTTTTGCAACAGGCTCAGCAAATCTCATGTATTCGTCAGTGGGCTCAAAGGAACAGTTGTTGAGGCATGTTAAAAAAAACTTGCTAATAATTTTTTCTGCATTGTGAAATAGTAGTGATATACTCTTGGGTGTAGAAAGTTCTGATTTAGTTAACCCTCATTATGCCAATTTGATTGAAATATGCTGAAGTGTAAAACTGCAAGGTTTTCATTGGAATCTCAAAGGGTGTGTCTTAGATTGTCATTAGGTGTTCTATTTCATTCAAAAGAAAATACAGTGTCAAAGTATATAATTTATGTTATTATGTCTGCAGTTCTGCAAAAACATCGTTTTAGCTGGAGTTGGTAGTTTGACCCTGAATGATGATCATATGGTGACCAATGACTTACTCTCTGCTAATTTCCTCATCCCCCCTGATGAAAATGTGTTTAGTGGGAAATCTGTTGCTGAGCTCTGTTGTCATTCACTGAAAGAATTCAACCCCATGGTTCATGTTTCTGTCCAGAAAGGTTAGACATGTATTATGATTCCTGAGGCTATTGATTTTCTTAGACTATTGAGTTGCTCACATATATAGTTAGACTCATCATTAAGGATCTTGCTGAGACTTGTAGTTTTTTATAATATGGTTAGTGCCCATGGCTAACCCTTACAGTCACAGTAAATAGTGTTCTATCGATTGCATTTGTCATAGGCTTATTATGCATTTACTCTCCTACTTCATTAAGAGTGTCATTTGCATGTTAGTTTGCAACTTTGCATACCACACCAAGCTCAGATTTCCATAGAGTACTCCCCCCTTGAGATTTCCAGTGTACTATGCTTTTGCTTTTCTACTTGTGCACTGTAAGTTGTAACAAGTTAACAACTCATTTATAATACTTCTCTGTCCCACAAAACTTGACCAAACTTGACTTGCACGTAGAATAATAAAGTAAATAGTGTGTAATTGAGATTTGTGTGGAGGAAAGAGAAATAACTCTAGCCACATATTTTTTACTCTAAATGGAAATGGCCATGTTTTTTGGGATTGCTAAAAGAGGAAATTTGGCAATGTTTTGTGGGCCAAAGGGAGTAACATTTGATCATCAATAGAACGTACATGCATTAAAAATATTTCAATTTCGCATAATTCTATGCTGCTGAATGCCAATGTTCCCATGCTAAAAGTGTTATGCATATGACAGTATTACCTTCATCATATGTTTTGCCTTTAGATACTATAGAAGTTGTTTATGTTGCACTTGCCATGTTTTATACAGTTGAAAGCTAGTTCATGAGCCCATTCATTCAAATTTATTCTGATTTCTCACCCATTCGATGCTTATGCTAAGGGCTCTTAAATTACGTGCCTACAGAGACTAAATGCATGACTTATACCTAATTATCATTAATCATACAGAATATAATTTGACTCTTGCAATGAGAAAAATGACAAAAGACAACATAATATTTTAGTTGCTTGGATGGATCAGTACGAAGTGAAAATAGGAGTACACTAAAAGAGTGTTGAACATTTTGTATACATTTTTTGAGTGTTTTTGCAGTGCACCTGAATGTATTTTCATTATTTCCAACTAGTGTCTGCTATCATCATAGTTAGTGATGGAAGTGCTAGTCTCAACTAAATTTAGAACTCTGATGATACTTATAATTTTTGTTCTAGGTGAGTTGTCCAGTTTTGATGCTGATTTCTTTGATAAGTTTGATGTAATTGTAATCTGTCAGTGCTCTCTGGAGACGAAGGTATTGGTAGCTATTGTCGCTGTATAAAAACATGTGCACTCAAGTACTCAACTACTCACTGAGATTAGAATTATATCGATTTGGAAATAATTTATTCATTTTCTTTCTGCAACTCTACCATAGAAATCTGTAAATGAGAAGTGTCGGAAGTTGTCGAAGCGCATTGCATTTTATACAGTTGATGTTAGAGATTCTTGTGGCGAGATCTTTGTTGACTTGCAGTGCTACACCTATTCTAAGGTTAGAAGTGATCTGACATCTTTATATGTTCCATATAACCAGGTTGCCATTGTTATCTTTAATGTACATCAAACCTAAATCCCTTTGTAATATCTTTCTTTTTGTTTGGCAGAAGCGATTTGAGGAAATGACAGATTGCCAAATAAACTATCCAAGCTTTAAGGTATCAGTGTTTGAAGGTTTAATTATAATAACCATCTTAAATGACTTTTATTTATACCTTCACTTTCATGGTGTACTACCATGAAAGTATGATTATTCCACTTTGTCACTTGACATTGTTTAATTTGAACAGGAAGCTATTGAAGTCCCATGGAAAGATTTACCAAAGAGAACATCAAAGCTGTATTTTGCTATGAGAGGTAAAACCGCAGATACTCTATCTTGTTGTACCTGTATAACTTTCTTGGATAGTAATGCACATCGTGTTATTCATGCTTTTTACTAATCACTCAGGTGTAATTATGTAAGGTGTTACAACTAGCTGCATATTACTGTCAAAATATCAAACTAAAGGAGTTTTTAAAACAATCGTGAATATTACAGCTTTTATTCTAAAAACACATAAACGTCCCATGCAACCATTAAAGATCAATGCTGAAGCTCCCACACATTAGGGTTATGTTTGGATCACAGAATGGGAAAACAACTGCTAAGGGAAGTTATTTTCTTATGTTTGGTTTTAACTCAGGACTCCAAAG